ATTATGGCTTTTTCTCAAGAAACCGGCGGGGCATGGAGCATCATGGAAGATGTCTTGTTGTGTGAGTGTTGGGTCCAAATTAGTCATGATCCCATATCGGGTAATAAGATGAAATTCAGTCAAATGTGGAAAAAAATTCATCACGAATTTGTTGAAAGATTGGGTTCCACCCGTATGGAAATGGCATTGTCTAGTCGGTGGAAAATTCTCAGTAAAGAGTTGGGGAAATGGAGAGATGCCCTCACAAAAGCGATGGATAACCAAAGAAGTGGGGAAAATCTCAGCGATGAGGTAAATTATTTGTAATTTTCATTTTATTAATTTTAATGTCCTATTAATTTAAATTTAAATGTTTCTTGCAATTTGTATATTTTGTTAATATTTCTTGTATTTCCATATTTATTTAAATGTTTTTTGCAATTTTTATATTTTGTTAATATTTCTTGTATTTCTAATATTTATTTAAATGTTTGTTGCATTCTCTATAATTTGTTAATATTTCTTGGATTTTCATTAATATGTTTATCTTTTTTGCATTACCAATAATTTTTTTTTTTATGTTCCTTGCATATTCAAATTTTTTTTTATATAGATTGTGCAAGCTCAAATGTGGTATGGTGCTACTGGACATATGTTCCTTGCATATTCAAATTTTTTTTTATATAGATTTTGCAAGCTCAAATGTGGTATGGTGCTACTGGACAAGGGAAAAAAACTTTCAATCATACCCAATGTTGGGAGGTGGTGAAGCATTGTAAGAGATTTAGCATTATTCCAACGGCTCCACCGGTGGTGTTAAACAAGACGCCACTCCATGATTCACAAGCTTCGGATTCGCCTATGGAATCCCCTATGAGTGAAGACTCACCCATTCAAAGGGAGCCGAGGCCAATTGGGAGGAAGGCGGCGAAGGCAAAGAGAGGAAATAATTCTACAAGTAATGCCTCTAAATTTTTGGAGGAAATTGCAAGGCAAAGCGCCTTGAGAATTGAAATAGACAGGAATGCCCAAGAAGATGATAGGGCAATGCAAATAGAATTTGCTAAAGAAAGGGAGTATGTACGCAAAGAAAGGGAGTATCTATGCAAAGAAAACGAAGACAAGAAGGATCAGGAAACCATGACCATGGATACAAGCCATATGTCTCCTGAAACAAAACAATTTTGGAAGCTAGAACGAAAGGCTATTATGAGACAAAGACTTTTTCGTGATGATGGACCTAGCAACACGGATTGGTTAAATGATGGAAACCCTTAAGTTAGTTTTCTTGCCTTTTCATTTCATTGTATTTTAATGTTTTGTTTTAAAAATTAGTTGTAATTCATGTATTTTATTTTATTAGTAGTATTAGTTTTCTTTGAGTTACCAAAGAAACTATTAAATAAAATTTCTTTTTATTCAAATCATTCCATTCATAAAAAACTAACCACAACCAAAGCATTAAAAATATAAAAACAAACAAACCACAACCAAAGCATAAAAAAACCAAACATAACTAAACATAAAACATAAACTTTAAAATCTTAAAAAACATCTTCACTTCACTTCATTCACCGTCATTGCCTTTCACCGCCCATAAATGCTCCATTAAGTCAATTTGACGGCGTTCATGAATATACGACGATTACATCTCCGTATATCGATCAATCATACGGTTCATGAAACGACCATCTCTAACCAATGGTTCATGCTCCAATGGTTCTCCATTTGGCCCTATGAGTTTTTCATAAATTCTTGTCAAGACCGTGTTCATGGGATCCGGTTCGTACAACTCTTCAGCTTCGTAATCATACTCATCCTCCACAATCATGTTATGGAGGATGATGCATGTCATCATTATGCTCCTCAACACCTCCTCATCAAACATACGGGCCGCACCCCTAATGATCGCCCACCGAGCTTGGAGGATACCAAAGCACCTCTTCACATCTTTTCTGTAACTCTCTTGATAGGTAGCAAATAATTTTTGCTTCTGGGTTCGGGGATGCCGAAGTGATTTCACAAATGTTGTCCACCTCGGGTAGATGCCGTTAGCTAGATAATACCCAGTTTGGTAGACGGTATTATTGATTGCATATGTGATTTGCAGGGCTTCTCCTCTCAAAACATCGTTGAACACCGGGGATTGACCTAGGACGTTCAAGTCATTTTGTGATCCAGCAACTCCGAAGAAGGCGTGCCACACCTATGTATCGAATCCTGCAATGGCTTCAAGGATGATACTTTTTTGGCCTTTTCGATTTCCGTAATCTCCCTGCCAAGCAGTTGGGCAATTCTTCCATTGCCAGTGCATGCAGTCGATGCTACCAATCATTCTTGGAAATCCTCTCCGTTCGGCTTTCTGT